CACCCAGCCTCCCTCTCCCTCCTCCTCTTCCAAAATCAGCCAGTTCCTCAGCTCTGGTCAAGAGGATCCCTGGCTCTGATGTCATTACTCCACCTTGGCCCACCAAACTTTCAGCTTCACCTTGGCTTCTCTCTCCCTCACCATGGACTATCATCCTTACAACTCCACCAGACACCCTCATCCATCTAGCTCAGCCTTGATAATGTATCATCCTGTCTGAACCTTTGGGACTATCATTATCTGCCTTCCCACTAGCTCCACCTCAGTCCTCTGGCTCCCTGGCTCCACTTTGGACGATCGTTGCTGTGGCTCTTCCTCGGTCTCTGAGGCCATCTGTGTTGTTTTGTCCCATCTGCTCTCCATCTGTGCCTAGGGCTCCACTGCCATCAGCTTTGTTTTCATCAGTCGTCCCTCAGAGTTTGTCATCCAAGTTTCCACCATGGCTCCTCCCTCCGTCGAATCTGTGGTGGGCTATTGTCCTGGCCAAGTTCTGGTTCCCCGCTTGGCTTCTCCTGCTCATGGCTCCTCCTCACCCTCCACTCCCCCATGGACTGTTTTGCCTGTGTCTGTTTGGTTATGTCCTGTAGCGTCTGCGTAGAATCATGCATGATCTTTGGGTTTTTATGGCTTAAGAGACCCTTTTAGCCTTTTGACATTTGCATATAAATTACAGTTCTGGTCAGAGACTTTACTTTTTAATGGGGGTTTAAATTGCCAGATGGTTCCTCGCCATCAAGGAGATTCTAACCAGTCCCCCCCAACTATCATCTCCCCCATCTGACTTCAAACACGGTCCAAAGAGCTGTAAATGACCCCGATGGGCCTGGCTGGCCAAGTAAACTAACACACAAACACACACACACACACACACACACACACACAAACACACACACACATAAAGACCGTTACTCTATTATACTCTACAAATATATCTGGTATATTGCATGTGTTGTTTGTACGTTTCCCTATTAGATTAGCTGAGTTACCACTCGTTATTTGTATTAGTTAAAGCCATAAAACACTGATATTCAGGTGTATGTATGTATCTTTGGTTTAATCTATTCCAAATGTTTGTTTCTTGGTATCAATATTATCTGCTTTTCATTCCAAAAACTGATGTACAGTATGTGATTGTGAAACGCATCATACGATTTGTACTATATTTTGGGTTAAAACTACAGAAATTCCAGACCGGCCATAAAACATGCAAATGAGCCATGAAGGGAACAAAGGAAACTTCTCCCGCTCAAAAATTCACGTCTGGTATTGGCCAGTCCACACAGAATAGGAACCCTCAAAAGCGATTAGCCCGAAATAATCTTTGCTCAGAAACCCTCTTCGTTTGAGACAACACCTTTCCAAGACCCTCAAGATCTTCCTCTTGAGTTTTATTTTCCGGCAGTTTTGATCTTCAAGTAAGAGCTAAATTACTGCTAGCACTGCACAAAGAAGGACAGTTTATTCTTCCGTGGCCAGGAAAATAATAGTTCCTTGAATTAATAAATGATTATATTGTCTGCTCGGTGGACGGACAGATCAAATAATTGTAATATTGATTCTGCTACAGTTAATTCGAAGATATAATCTAAATATTCATTATTGATCATAACCAGTTATAGTTAGTCATACATATTTCCCTTTTTAGAGCTATAAAAACCCTACAGTCCCTTTCCAGCTCCATGTCCTCCATGTGAAATCCCCTTTATCCCTCCTCTGATGGACTGTTACAGTGCACTAACAATGAACAGTTGTGTTTTTTATATATTGTTAAAGCATTAAATAACATTAATGGGACCTTATTGTAAAGTGTTAGCAGCAAATCTAAGTGCAGTGATACCAACCTGGCAACACTGTGGAGTCTTCATGTCTGAAATCCCTGTGTGTTAAGAGCAGTGAGACAAAATATGTTTTTAGTCCTGAAATGAAGATGCACTGAATTAATGCAAAAAAAGGCTTTAAAAGTCAGAAAAATTACATTTTGATAGAAATATCTGCCCTAAACATTGTCATATTTTTGTTTTGTTAATATTTTTTCATGTAAACTGTGAGCAGCTCTGAGAAAATTACTGAGTCTCTTTGAGTCTCAGTTCAATCAAACACCAGCTTACGCATGGTATTTACACTAACTCCGCCCACCAACGTGTGATTGGGATAGTCAATACTGAAAAAAGACGCTTGTCAAAGTAGATGGTAAGGCGTGTGCGTTGTGACGCAATCGACCCAAGTTAGAATCTGCCTTTTGCCTAACCTTTTTTTTCTCCCTTTTTAAATCTCATATCGCATCAGAAAGGCATTTATTTTCAATAAAAAAATGAAGGAAATAATAAAAAAATAGAAAATAAAGTATCGGGTAGGGTTAGGATAGGTGTAGGGAGGACTTTATTGTCCCAATAAGGTGACATCCATTTAATAATTTGAATTAAAATTATAGTTTACACTCAATACATTATTATTGCGTACTGTTTTATACTATACTACAATACTAAGGTGCAGATAATGGCTACTATTTGCAATACGTAATATAAATAGCATAAAATCTTGCCATTTTAACAGTGTAAATATAATCTAAAGCTATTTGCACTTAGTGTAAATAGCATATTGTTAAAAAATACTGCTATTTTCACTTAGTGTAAATATAATCTATTGCTATTTGCACTTAGGGTAAATAGAATCCATTGCTATTTGCACTTAGTGTAAATAGCATATTGTTAAAAAATACTGCTATTTTCACTTAGTGTAAATATAATCTATTGCTATTTGCACTTAGGGTAAATAGAATCCATTGCTATTTGCACTTAGTGTAAAAACAGTCTCAGCAGTAAGAATTTACTTGCATCTGAAACAGGCAACATCCCTACAAACGTAGGGTTTTTGTGGAAATGAGAATGGAAAATCATAAATTTTACAAATATTTAAACATTATTGGTGCAAAAAAAAAAAGCATTTTATAACCCACTTAAGCCATAGTCCTAATAAATTAAGCTGAAGCAAAAATGTTCCACTTTGAACAAAAAGACAGAAACAGATTAAAATGTATTTTTTTGAATGACAGAGTTAAATGAATTAGAATGAAAACAATGAAACAATTCCAAATGTACTTACAGTGTCCAAACATGAGCAAAATCAGCAGAGAAAGAGTAAAGATGCTTTCAGAGGAGAAGACAACAACTCTCAGATCGCCAACTGCACGCTCACCATTAACTGAAGATAAAACATTATTAAAATCAATCTTTATGAATGCTTTGTTAAATAACATCAAATTGATGCAAGTGGTGTGTTCGCTCACCTGTTTTTAGTATAATTTCTGTCATCAGTGCAACAACATTCAGCAAAACAACACCAATGGATCCCAGCGCATACAAAATCTTTTTAAAGGTGAGGGTTAGATCTGCAGATAAATGTAAATTTATCTCAGGGACATTACTTGTTGTTTTAAATGCAGCCGATACATTCATCACAGTCTTGTGGCATAAGAGAAAAAGAAAAAAAACAAACAAACAACAAAAAAAATCACATTCTACTTCCTCAGATGTTTGTCCAATTAGTTTTGATTGATTTTCATTAGGCAGACCAGTCGTGTGTGTAGATTTACCCTCACTCGTTGGAAATTAACTGTACTGAGATGCAGAAAAATGTAATTGTAATTGTAAACTCAGTTTCAGTTACTCTTTACCAATATAACCAATGATCTGTCAAAATGAACACTTCACTTCCAAACCCTTCACTTCTGCCCTTTGTATACTTTAGGGTTTTAATTTAGAATATTTCTGAGAGTTTTATATTTCTGAACTATTCGTCATATTTTATATTTTATTTGGGTATTTAAGCCACGTTTTTAAAGCTGAAACTTGGGTCTCTTTGACCTTTGACGTGAACCATAACAAGCATACAAAAGTGATATTTAAACAAGACACTGAACTTGGATATTGAACAAATTACAAAATTAGTGTAAGTAGATTATCAATACTGTACCCAGCTCATCATTACTAGCATTATATACTGCAATCATCCACAGCACTTGCTGAAATACAGTCGTACATATCCATCCTGCAGCAACATCTGTGAACAGAAGTATCTATTAAAGAAATGTATTGAAAGATTAACCTTTTTTTCATCACCCAGAGATGTAAAATGAAGTTATTATACTTTCCAGTATTAGAAATATATAATAGGCCAATACCTTTTTCATTTTTCATCGTTCTGATGCAGAAACAGATAACTACTACCATCATCATAAAAGTGAAGAATATCCATGCAGTTTTACTGAGTAAAACTGAACCTGAAAAAATATTTGAATGTTTTTATTCAATGAAACGTTTAAACTTTTGAATAGCGAAGTAAAAAACACCAAACATGAAGATAATCAAAGAAAGATCTAAATATAGAACAACAAATAATGAAAAGAAAAGAAAAAAAGTCCTGATTCAGTCAGACAGAGAATTGACCCGTAAACTCTAAAGAACTGACCATTTAAATATTCAGAACGAATGGAAACAGGTTTTGAAATTAAAAGCTTTAAAAGGGACAGTTCACCCAATTTTCATTTTTGGGTGAAATGTCCCTTTTAAGCATCTATAATCACTGAAAGTGAATTTTCTCAGTATTACACAGAACTATAGACAGATGTGTTTATAACATACTTACAGCATTTCCTCTGGTTTAGGCCAGCCAAACAAAAAAATGACATAAAAAAGGTAATTGGGAACATTATGGCAACAAAAAACCCTGAAAAAAGAAGATTAGCTATGTTCAAGTAAGATTCATTGACAAAAATATATATATATTTAAATGTCATTGTAATCACATTAAAGCCATCTATTTTTCATCTCTCTTTAACCTTTTGCTTCTTACATTTACTTAATAAACATCAGACTCTGTTACTGTGAGGCTAATTCTCAGTGTGTCGATAGTCCTCAAAAATGAGATCTACCATGTTTTATACTTTTTTTTCTCTCTGATTATTGTCCATTCAGAAATGGCACAGCTTTGATAAAGGGTTACTAACCTCCTCTGGCAGCTCCAAAAGCAACATACAGGAGGGTGACGTGTAATGAAGGCAGAATGTAAAAGATGAATGCAGCTACAGATGTTAATATACCCCATATACATTCTGATATCGGTCCACGGCATGACATCTCCTTTCCAGTCAATACTACAAAATGTTAAAAAAAAAAAATTTTTTTAAATCAAACTACTTCTTCAGTTCCACATTAAACTTAAGGGTTACAAATAATAAGCATTATTGAAAGTTGCAGAGATGCCGGAATCTAGTCTCTTTATCAGATTCCATCAGAAACCATATTCATTTTGTCTAGTATTAATTGGAGAATTGCTGCTTCACAACATAATTTTACTGAACTACTGCTTCACAATCATATGATGTGTAAAGTATGAGATGAAGACATTCCCTTTTCTATAACTTTTTTTTCTGAAGGCAAAACAACACACAAGATTAAACAGTAGTAGAAAAATTAAAACACACACACACACACTATATATATATACAGTATACAGTATACTATATATATATACACACACACATACACACACACACACACACACACATTAGAGATGCACTGATACTACATTTCTCCACCGATACGAGAGCCGATTATTCCGATTATAGAGTGATATCTGCCGATACTGATAACAATACCTATAGTTCCCTTTCAAGGGAACTTCGAACTGCGTCCTCTAGGGGTCGCTATGGGGAACGCCTCGTCATGACCCATCTGAAGCATACATTGAAAAAACACCAACGAAAGCCATGACGTCACTAACGGTGCGACTATAGTTTATAGGGAGAACACATCATCCTCTTCTTCATCTTCATTGAATGTTTTGTTTGAAGCGTGCATTTCTGTGGTAAGAGCGATCTCGGAGCGAAAACGGATATGAGAAGATGCCCCTATAGAGAGACCAGCTATCTCTCTATGGGTGAGACATCCTCTCTTAAGACTCCGTCCTTGCCATCTGAGCCTCTTCAGGTGACCACCTTACTGATGGTCCGGACTAGAGGCTTCTTCGGATGGGGCTCCGGCGCGGGAACCATGGTGGGTGAGTACGATCCAATTCTAAATATATATACATATATGTGTGTGTGTATTTAATGCTCAGGTGGTTATGTGATATATACAGATATATATATATATATATATATATATATATATATATATATATATATATATGTGAGTGTGTGTATTTAATTGTGCTGGTGGTTGTGTGTATGATCCATCTGCTAGCTTCCTTTGCAGTGTTTTCTGTCCTTTTCTAGGGTAGGTCCTCGGTGAGCACCCCCTCTGTTGGATTCAGAAACCAGGTGCTCGACTTGCAGTGTTTACTTCACTCATCAATATGATGTCCAGCCGGTATGATAGCCTGGTTTCGGCTTCATGCTTCCTGGATCATGCGGCCAGGTCACAGGCTTTTGCGGGAGCTTTCCTGATCATCAGGCCCCCGGCACGGCACTGCAGAATTTCCTGGACGTCCGGGCTGGGCTTATGCTTTCAGGCTGCCCTGTCTGGTATATCGTATCTAGGTCGCCCTGAGGGGCCTCCTAGTCACCAGGATATCCCCTCTTGCTGAGGCATCGAGTGGGAAGTATAGGTGGCATTTGCGAGTACCTTCTTGTGTAATGCTGTCTCAGGCAGTGCTCCCCTCGCCTTAGAGGGTTGTATTTGAGCTTGCCTCTCCCGTTTGGCTCAGTACTTTCGGGTATCTGTGAACAGATGCTTGGAAAACTCTTAAATCCAGACTATGGTAAGTGCACATGTTAAGCTTTGCGCACATTCTAAAATCCACATAGTGGTAAGTGTGCACGTTATGCTTTGCCCACTTTTCTGAAATCCTGTATGGTAAGGGTTACACGTTATTAGCCTCGTTCCCTTTCTCCGAGTTGGTTTTGACCCCAGTATCTTGGGCTCCATTCAACTAGTGTGTCTTCTGTCACATCACTCCCCTTACCATTGAGGGTTATTGTAAGCATGATGCTTTCTTTCGAGCATTTGAATTCTCTCCCTTATGAGGAGTTGGATTCTTCTCTCCGTGGGCTGTTCTCGTGGTAGTGTTTAGCAGTGCTCCCCTTTTATCAAAGGGTTGCCTATGAGCACGCTACTCCTTTCTGAATTCGGAGTTCCCCTCTCATGTGAGTTCTCTGTTTTCCCAGAGCACCTGGAATCAGCAGCATCAGGAGAACTAGACCCTTTCTCCGCCTCTCTGATGCGCTGAGTTTTCTGGTTAGCTTGCCGTACGCTTACCCTTCTGATTTCTAACGATCGTGCTGTAGGTCGAGCCCCTCTCGTTGAGAGCTGGGTGTTTGCTCCCTCAGCTAGAGATGTACTGCTAGCCATTCCAGCAGTATACCTTAGATTGAGTTGATGACTTCTCAAACATAGTGTTTTGGGATGCACCATTTCCATATATGAGCTGCTCTTTCAGAGTACCACGAGGGCCCCTTAGAACGGTTTTTAAATCCATGTTATGGTAAGTGTGCACGTTAATCTTTGTACACTTTCTAAAATCCCCACTGTGGTAAGTTCGCACACTAGTACCCTGCGTTCTTTCTAAAATCCTGTATGGTAAGAGCTATGCGCGGCAGCCTCGTGCTCTTTCTTGAGTGGTTTAAAACCCCGGTTCCGCCTTGGGCACCACTCCACCTATGTATCCTCTGGATACCTACTTTGACAGGGTGTTGCTACCAGGGGTCTGTTGAGACAGTTCCTTCAGCATATGCAGAGCATGGGTTAGCCCCTGTGTGACAGGCCAAGACTTAGTATGATTCTAGGCTCTTGGTCGTATTACCTATTCCTGATTCCAAGCCTTGAGCTCTACCCCGGGCCCAGGAGTTCTGGCCCTAACAGGGAAGTTTTTGGGGTATGTAGCCTAGGCCTTTGGCCGAAGGGAAAAATGTCACTGACAGCCGTCTTAACGTCCCAGGGGCAACTCCTATGGCTATGGTAGAGTTGGTACTTAGTGCTCACCATGGTTCTGGCATGCACTCCCCTCAGCATGGTGGTATGGGTATACCGTTCCCCATAGCGACCCCTAGAGGACGCAGTTCGAAGTTCCCTTGAAAGGGAACGTCTCAGGTTATGTAGGTAACCAATGTATGTAACCATGGTTCCCTGAGTAGGGAACGAGACACTGCATCCTCTAGGTTTCTTGCCATGCTTCGGACGCAAGCTTCAGACAAAGAAGTGGATGATGTGTTCTCCCGGCGCCTATTTATACTATAGGCGCACTGGTAGTGGCGTCATGGCTGTCGCCGGACTACGTGTTTTTTCAATGTATGCTTCAGACACGGGTTTGTTTCAGAGTAACTAGTATCAGTTATAAACAAACACATTACTCAAATTAATATTAACTCACATTAACTAAATTCTGAAGATTAAATTATTTCTTAATACTGAACCTCAAAGTAGTGATGTTTCTTAACATTTTATTTACATGTAGCACAAATTTAAAGGATTTTCCTGACCTCTTTTGATTGACAGGATACATCGGCCCTGATCACTGGCTGTTTTTAACTTTAGTGTGAAAAATTGCTTTTATCAGCCGAAACCTATTGGCCGATATATCGGTGCATCTCTAATGCTGAAAAAGCTGTCTTTACAGACTAACGGAAAGACTTACAGTAAATGATGTAGATGACACAAAGCAAAATCAGGACTCCAGTTGTAATGAGTATCATGAATCTATCAAAGTCTCCATAATGCACCATTTTTTCCCAAGCATGACTGAAAAGAACTGAAAGAAAATTAATAAACAACTTGTGTTGGTAAATTCAGCACTAACACATGTAGAATCATACTAACATAAATCGTGACTTTTGAGTGAAAATAAAGTAGTAATACCGGGTACATTTAATGAATTATCTATTTTTTAGGTCATTGCAGATTATTTAAACGTGTTTGTGCATGAATGACAGCATGATAAATGTGATATCATGTGGAGGAACATATAGATCTACCAACCTGAAGAATAAACCACTGTTACAAGGAAATATTCAGACTGAAGTGCTAAATCTGTGAACAAAAATGATTTTGGGTAACTTAATATTCCAAGTGCAAACAGGTCACCTTGTTGGCAGAGGCTATTTACACTAACCCCATCCACCAATATCTAATTGAGCCAGACAAAATTTCAAAACAAACCCATATATTAACAGGAGCAGAAAAGCGGATGGAAGTAACTTTTGATGTGATCAACCAAAGTTTCATTATACATTATTTTTAAAATGACATTTTCTCCCTTTCCCCATTGCATATCAGCTCAGAGAGGCATTTATTTAAAATAAATATAAATATATACATAAGTCGTCCGGTCAGAGACAAAGTACACTTTAATGACTTGAGGCTGGTAGAGGCATTTACAGTCTTTGTAATTTGTTGAGTGAACAACTGTAGTACAAGTAGCAGAGGGTATGGCAGCGTAGCACTGAGCAGTTTGGAATATATCTTAGTATGAGTGGTTCTAAACAAACAGAACTAAAAATACTCACTTAGTAAATATACAGAAACAACAATAACTCAATTTGTCACTTATACATACACATATATATATATATATATATATACAGTATATATATATATATATATATATATATATATATATATATATATACAGT